CACTCACCCACCACTCACCCACCCACTCACACACTCACCCACTCAATCACTCACCGACTCACTCACTCACCCACCCATTCACCCACCCACTCACCCACCCACTCACTCACCCACAGATCCTCCGTGTAGCCTTAACAGACTGTTGGGGCAAGTGCTGTTCACCCACTCACCCACTCACTCACTCACCCACTCACTCACTCACCCACTCACGCACTCACTCACCCACCCCACTCACTCACCCACTCACCCACCCACCCACCCACTCACTCACCCACCCACTCCCTCATCCACTCACTCACCCACTCACTCCACTCACCCACAGATCCCCCGTGTAGCCTTACAGACTGTTGGGGCAAGTGCTGCTTAGTAGCGAGAAGCAGCAGCACCTAGCAAGGCCGGAAGAGTGGCACACACAGGGGGTGGTGTGGCCGGTAGCACCACGCCCGGCCGCCTTTGTCTCTCTCCAATGGTGATGTTAACACAGAGCACCAGGCACTCATTTGAGGCTGAGTCGACCTAGGGGAGGCCCAGGACCGGTTCAGATAATCGAACTCGGTCGCCGGGTTCGTAGCGCAGCGTAGCGCTGACCACTACACCCACCGCTCCCCACACACCACACACAGTGTACACACCACACACACCACACACACCACACACACACACCACACACAGTGTACACACCACACACACCACACACCACACACACACCACCACACACAGTGTACACACCACACACACCACACACACCACACACACACCCCACACACAGTGTACACACCACACACACAGTCACCACCACACACCACACACTACACACAGTGTACACATCACACACACAGTCACCACCACACACCACACACTACACACAGTGTACACACCACACACACTCACCACCACACACCACACACAGTGTACACACCACACACACCACACACCACCACACACACCACACACACATACACACTCACCACCACACACTCACACTCACCACCACACACACACCACACACACACACCACACACACTCACCACCACACACTCACACTCACCACCACACACACACTCACACACACACACACACCACACACAGTGTACACACCACACACACAGTCACCACCACACACCCACACACACCACACACACCACACACACAGTCACCACCACACACCACACACAGTGTACACACCACACACACACACACTCACCACCACACACCACACCACACACACACACCACACACACTCACCACACACACACAGACCACACACACACCACACACACACACTCACCACACACACACCACATTCACACACACCACACAAACACCACACACACCGTTCCCCACACACCACACACACACACCACACACACCACACACAGTGTACACACCACACACAGTGTACACACCACACACACAGTCACCACCACACACCACACACCACACACACAGTCACCACCACACACTACACACACCACACACAGTGTACACACCATACACACACACACACTCACCACCACACACCACACACTCACCACACACACACACCACACACAGTGTAAACACCAAACACACACTCACCACCACACACCACACCACACACACCACACACTCACCACACACTCACCACACACACACACCACACACAATCAAACCACACACCACACATACTCACACCACACACTCAAACACCACACTCTCACACCACACACACCACACACACCACACTACACACACACCACACACACACCACACACACACACCACACTACACACACACACACACCACACTACACACACACACACATTCACACCACATTCACAACACACATACACACCACACACTCAACACACATACACACCACACACTCACACACCACACACTCACCATACACACTCACACCACACACCACACACACTAACACCACACACTCACACACCACACACTCACACACCACACACACTACACACACACTCACACACACTCACACCACACACACCACACACACCACACACACACACCACACACACCACACACACCACACACACCACACACACCACACACACACACCACGCACACTCACACCATACACACACACATTCACAACACACACACTCCACACACACACTCACACCACACTACACACACACACCACACACACAATCCACACACACACACACCTCACACACATACACACCACACCACACACACCACACACACCACACACACACCCCACACACACCACACACACACACACCACACACACCCCCACACAACCCCACACACACCAACCCACCACATTCACACTCCACACACACACACTCCACACACACACCACATACACACCTGTGTCTGTCTCTGTGTCTGTCTATGTGTCTGTGTCTCTGTGTCTCTGTGTCTGTGTCTCTGTGTCTGTCTCAGTGTCTGTCTCTCTATCTGTGTCTGTCTCTCTGTCTGTGTCTCTGTGTCTGTCTCTGTGTCTGTCTCTGTGTCTGTCTCTCTGTCTGTGTGTCTGTGTCTCTGTGTCTGTCTCTCTGTCTGTGTCTCTGTGTCTGTGTCTCTGTCTGTGTCTGTGTGTCTGTTTGTGTGTCTGTTTCTGTGTCTGTGTCTCTATCTGTGTCTGTGTGTCTTTCTCTGTCTGTGTTTCTGTGTCTCTGTGTCTGTCTCTGTGTCTCTGTGTCTGTGTCTCTGTGTATCTGTGTCTGTGTCTGTGTCTCTGTGTGTGTGTGTGTCTCTGTGTCTCGATCTCTGTGTCTGTCTCTGTGTCTCTGTCTCTGTGTCTCTGTGTCTGTCTCTGTGTCTCTGTGTCTGTGTCTCTCTGTCTGTGTCTCTGTCTCTGTGTCTCTGTGTCTCTGTCTCTGTGTCTCTGTGTCTGTGTATCTGTGTCTCTGTGTCTCTGTGTCTGTATCTGTGTCTGTGTGTCTCTGTGTCTGAGTGTCTGTGTCTCTGTGTATCTGTCTCTGAGTGTCTGTGTCTCTGTGTCTCTGTGTATCTGTCTGTGTCTCTGTCTCTATATCTGAGTCTCTGTGTCTGAGTGTCTGTGTCTCTGTGTGTCTGTGTCTCTGTCTCTATGTCTGAGTCTCTGTGTCTGAGTGTCTGAGTGTCTGTGTCTCTGTCTGTGTCTCTGTCTGTGTCTGAGTCTCTGTGTCTGAGTGTCTGTGTCTCTGTCTGTGTCTATGTGTGTGCCTCTGTCTCTGTGCCTGAGTCTCTGTGTCTGAGTGTCTGTGTCTCTGTGTGTCTGTGTCTCTGTCTCTATGTCTGAGTCTCTGTGTCTGAGTGTCTGAGTGTCTGTGTCTCTGTCTGTGTCTCTGTCTGTGTCTGAGTCTCTGTGTCTGAGTGTCTGTGTCTCTGTCTGTGTCTATGTGTGTGCCTCTGTCTCTGTGCCTGAGTCTCTGTGTCTGAGTGTCTGTGTCTCTGTGTCTCTGTGTCTGAGTCTCTGTATCTGAGTCTCTGTGTCTCTGTGTGTGCCTCTGTCTCTATGTCTGAGTCTCTGTGTCTGAGTGTCTGTGTCTCTGTGTATCTATCTGTGTCTCTGTCTCTATATCTGAGTCTCTGTGTCTGAGTGTCTGAGTGTCTGTGTCTCTGTCTGTGTCTCTGTCTCTATGTCTGAGTCTCTGTGTCTGAGTGTCTGTGTCTGTCTCTGTCTGTGTCTCTGTCTCTGTGTCTGAGTCTCTGTGTCTGAGTGTCTGTGTCTCTGTCTGTGTCTCTGTCTCTATGTCTGAGTCTCTGTGTCTCTGTCTCTGTCTGTGTCTCTGTCTCTATGTCTGAGTCTCTGTGTCTGAGTGTCTGTGTCTCTGTGTATCTGTCTGTCTCTCTGTCTCTGTGTCTGAGTCTCTGTGTCTGAGTATCTGTGTCTCTGTGTATCTGTCTGTGTCTCTGTCTCTGTGTCTGAGTCTCTGTGTCTGAGTGTCTGTGTCTCTGTGTCTCTGTCTGTGTCTCTGTCTCTATGTCTGAGTCTCTGTGTCTCTGTCTCTGTCTGTGTCTCTGTCTCTATGTCTGAGTCTCTGTGTCTGAGTGTCTGTGTCTCTGTCTGTGTCTCTATGTCTGAGTCTCTGTGTCTCTGTCTCTGTCTGTGTCTCTGTCTCTATGTCTGAGTCTCTGTGTCTGAGTGTCTGTGTCTCGGTGTATCTGTCTGTGTCTCTGTCTCTATGTCTGAGTCTCTGTGTCTGAGTGTCTGTGTCTCCGTGAATCTGTCTGTGTCTCTGTCTCTGTGTCTGAGTCTCTGTGTCTGAGTCTCTGTGTCTCTGTGTATCTGTGTGTGTCTCTGTCTCTATGTCTGAGTCTCTGTGTTTCTGAGTGTCTGAGTGTCTGTGTCTCTGTCTGTGTCTCTGTCTCTATGTCTGAGTCTCTATGTCTAAGTGTCTGAGTGTCTGAGTCTCTGTGTCTGTGTCTCTGTGTATCTGTCTGTGTCTCTGTCTCTGTGTCTGAGTCTCTTTGTCTCTGTGTCTGAGTGTCTGTGTGTCTGTGTCTCTGTGTCTCTGTCTGTGTCTGAGTCTCTGTGTCTGAGTGTCTCTGTGTCTCTGTGTCTCTGTCTCTGTCTGTGCCTCTGTCTCTGTGTCTGAGTCTCTGTGTCTGAGTGTCTGTGTCTCTGTGTCTCTGTGTGTCTCTGAGTGTCTGTGTGTGCCTCTGTCTCTGTGTCTCTGTCTCTGTGTCTGAGTCTCTGTGTCTGAGTGTCTGTGTGTCTGTCTCTGTGTCTCTGTGTCTCTGTCTCTATGTGTGAGTCTCTGTGTCTGAGTGTCTGAGTCTCTGTGTCTGAGTGTCTGTGTCTCTGTGTGTCTGTGTCTGTGTCTCTGTGTGTCTGTGTCTGTGTCTCTGTCTCTGTGTCTGAGTCTCTGTGTCTGTGTCTCTGTGTCTGTGTCTGTGTAACTGTGTCTCTGTGTCTGTGTCTGAGTCTCTGTGTGTCTCTGTGTCTGTGTGTCTGTGTGTCTCTGTGTGTCTCTGTGTCTCTGTGTCTGTGTCTCTGTGTCTCTGTGTGTCTCTGTGTCTGTGTCTGTGTCTCTGTGTCAGAATGTCTCTGTCTGTCTCTGTGTGTCTCTGTCTTTGTGTCTGTGTGGAGCTGCACGGAGCTCTACCATTCCGGCGGCGATGTCGCGGGCGAAACCAACTCTCTGTGTCCAGGGGAGGGGGTCATCCTGCATCACACACACAGACACACACACACAGACACACACAGACGCACACAGACACACAGACACACACACAGACACACACACACAGACGCACACACAGACACACACAGACACACACACACAGACACACACACACAGACACACACAAAGACACACACACACAGACACACAGACACACACACAGAGACACACACACAGAGACACACACACAGACACACACAGACACACACAGACACACACAAAGACACACACACACAGACACACAGACACACACACAGAGACACACACACACAGACACACACAGACACACACACACAGACACACACAGACACACACACACACACAGACACACACACACAGACACACACACAGACACACACACACACACAGAGACACACACAGACACACACAGACACACACACAGAGACACACAGACACACAGATACACACACACAGACACACACACACAGACACACACACACACAGACACACAGACAGACACACACACAGTGACACACACACAGACAGACACACACACAGTGACACACACAGACACACACACACACGCACAGACACACACAGTGACACACACACACACAAAGTGAGTGAGTGACTGAGCCAGCAAGTGGGTGACTGAGTGAGTGAGTGACTGAGTGAGTGAGTGGGTGAGTGACTGAGTGACTGAGTGAGTGGGTGAGTGAGTGAGTGACTGAGTGAGTGGGTGAGTGAGTGACTGAGTGAGTGGGTGAGTGACTGAGTGACTGAGTGGGTGAGTGAGTGAGTGACTGAGTGAGTGGGTGAGTGACTGAGTGACTGAGTGTGTGGGTGAGTGACTGAGTGTGAGGGTGAGTGACTGAGTGAGTGAGTGGTGAGTGACTGAGTGAGTGAGTGACTGAGTGAGTGAGTGGTGAGTGACTGAGTGAGTCACTGAGTGAGTGAGTGACTGAGTGTGTGGGTGAGTGACTGAGTGAGTGAGTGGTGAGTGACTGAGTGAGTGAGTGAGTGACTGAGTGAGTGAGTGAGTGACTGAGTGAGTGAGTGGTGACTGAGTGAGTGACTGAGTGAGTGAGTGGTGAGTGAGTGACTGAGTGAGTGAGTGACTGATTGAGTGAGTGAGTGGTGAGTGAGTGAGTGGGTGAGTGAGTGACTGAGTGAGTGACTGAGTGAGTGAGTGACTGAGTGAGTGAGTGAATGAGTGAGTCACTGAGTGAGTGAGTGGTGAGTGAGTGAGTGGGTGAGTGAGTGGGTGAGTGACTGAGTGGGTGAGTGGGTGAGTGAGAGAGTGACTGAGTGAGTGACTGAGTGAGGAGTGAGTGACTGAGTGAGTGGTGAGTGACTGAGTGACTGAGTGACTGAGAGAGTGAGTGACTGAGTGAGTGACTGAGTGAGTGGTGAGTGGTGAGTGAGTGACTGAGTGACTGAGTGAGTGACTGAGTGAGTGGTGAGTGGTGAGTGAGTGACTGAGTGAGTGACTGAGTGAGTGGTGAGTGACTGAGTGAGTGGTGAGTGAGTGGTGAGTAGGTGAGTGAGTCACTGAGTGAGTCACTGAGTAACTGAGTGAGTGAGTGAGTGGTGAGTGAGTGAGTGGGTGAGTGGTGAGTGAGTGGTGAGTGACTCACCATGTTACGTATGGTATCACGCAGCGTGCCACCCTCAATGTACTCCGTGATGAGGTTCAGTGAGTGAGTGACTGAGTGAGTGAGTGAGTGACTGAGTGAGTCACTGAGTGAGTGACTGAGTGTGTGAGTGACTGAGTGAGTCACTGAGTGAGTGGGTGAGTGACTGACTGAGTGACTGAGTGAGTGAGTGGTGAGTGTGTGAGTGACTGAGTGAGTCACTGAGTGACTGACTGAGTGAGTGAGTCACTGAGTGAGTGACTGAGTGACTGACTGAGTGAGTGACTGAGTGACTGAGTGAGTGAGTGGTGAGTGAGTGGTGAGTGAGTGAGTGACTGAGTGAGTGACTGAGTGAGTGACTGAGTGACTGAGTGAGTGAGTGGTGAGTGAGTGACTGAGTGACTGAGTGAGTCACTGAGTGACTGACTGAGTGAGTGAGTCACTGAGTGAGTGAGTGAGTGGTGAGTGAGTCACTGAGTGACTGAGTGACTGACTGACTGAGTGAGTGACTAAGTGAGTGGTGAGTGAGTGACTGAGTGAGTGACTGAGTGAGTGGTGACTGAGTGAGTGGTGAGTGACTGAGTGACTGAGTGAGTGAGTGAGTGGTGAGTGACTGAGTGACTGAGTAGTGAGTGACTGAGTGACTGACTGACTGAGTGAGTGAGTGAGTGACTGAGTGAGTGAGTGAGTGGTGAGTGAGTTACTGAGTGACTGAGTGTGTGAGTGGTGAGTGAGTGGTGAGTGAGTGACTGAGTGAGTGACTGAGTGAGTGACTGAGTGAGTGAGTGGTGAGTGAGTGGTGAGTGAGTGGTGAGTGAGTGGTGAGTGACTCACCATGTTACGTATGGTATCACGCAGTGTGCCACCCTCAATGTACTCCGTGATGAGGTTGAGACGCCGGTCCTTGTAGAGAACTCCGATAAAGCGGAGGACGTTTGGATGCTCAAGGCCTCTCATCACCTTCACCTGAGCGCAATAACAACAACAACATCACCATCAACAACAACATCAACAACATCACCATCACATCATCATCACAATCACATCATCATCACAATCACATCATCATCACCTTCACATCAACATCACCATCAACATCACCATCAACATCACCATCAACATCACCATCAACATCACCATCAACATCACCATCAACATCACCAACATCAACAACATCACCACCATCACCAACATCAACATCACCTTCACCTGAGCGCAACAACATCAACAACATCACCATCACCAACATCACCATCACCAACATCACCAACATCACCAACATCACCAACATCACCATCAACATCACCAACATCACCAACATCACCATCACCATCGCATCACCATCAACATCACCATCAACATCACCATCCATCACCACCATCACCACCATCACCACCATCAACATCACCACCAACATCACCAACACCATCAACATCACCAACACCATCAACATCACCAACACCATCAACATCACCATCAACAACACCAATACCATCAACATCACCATCAACAACACCATCAACAACACCAATACCATCAATATCACCATCAAAATCACCATCAACAATATCACCATCAACATCACCATCACCAACACCAACACCATCACCAACATCATAAACATCACCATCACCAACACCATCAACTTCAACATCAACAACATCACCATGAACAACACCATCAACATCACCATCAAAATCACCAACAACATCAACGTCACCAACACCATCAACATCAACATCACCAATATCAACAATACCATCAGCATCAACATCACCATCAACATCACCATCACCAACACCATCAACTTCAACATCATCACCATCACCATCAACATCAACATCACCAACACCATCATCAACATCACCAATATCAACAATACCATCAACATCACCATCAACATCACCATCACCAACACCATCAACTTCAACATCAACACCATCAACATCACCATCAACATCACCATCAACATCACCATCAACATCACCATCAATATCACCAACACCATCAACATCACCAACACCATCAACATCACCATCAACATCACCAACACCATCAACATCACCAACACCAACACCATCAACACCACCAACACCATCAAAATCACCATCAACAACACCAATACCATCAACATCACCACCAACAACACCAATACCATCAACATCACCATCACCAACACCATAAACATCACCAACACCATCACCAACACCATCAACATCAACAACACCATCAACAACACCAATACCATCAATATCACCAGCAACAACAACACCATCAACATCACCAACACCATCACCATCACCATCAACATCACCAACACCAATACCATCAACATCACCAACACCATCAACAACACCAATACCATCAACATCACTATCAAAATCACCAGCAACAACAACACCATCAACATCAACATCACCAACACCATCAACATCACCATCAACATCACCATCAACAACACCATCAACAACAACATCACCAACACCAATACCATCAACATCACCAACACCAACACCATCACCATCAACAACACCATCAACAACACCATCAACATCACCACCAACACCGCCACCCTATCACCGCCACCCCCATCACTACAATTACCACCATCACCACCCTACACCACCATCACTACAATTACCACCATCACTACAATTACCACCATCACCACCGCACACCACCATCACTACAATTACCACCATCACCACCCCACACCACCATCACTACAATTACCACCATCACCACCCCACACCACCATCACTACAATTACCACCATCACCACCCCACACCACCATCACTACAATTACCACCATCATTACAATTACCACCATCACTACAATTACCACCATCACCACCCCACACCATCACTACAATTACCACCATCACCACCCTACACCACCATCACTACAATTACCACCATCACTACAATTACCACCATCACCACCCCACACCACCATCACTACAATTACCACCATCACCACCCTACACCACCATCACTACAATTACCACCATCACTACAATTACCACCATCACCACCCCACACCACCATCACTACAATTACCACCATCACCACCCTACACCACCATCACTACAATTACCACCATCACTACAATTACCACCATCACCACCGCACACCACCATCACTACAATTACCACCATCACCACCGCACACCACCATCACTACAATTACCACCATCACCACTCCACACCACCATCACTACAATTACCACCATCACTACAATTACCACCATCACCACCGCACACCACCATCACTACAATTACCACCATCACCACCCCACACCACCATCACCACCCCACACCACCATCACTACAATTACCACCATCACCACCCCACACCACCATCACCACCCCACACCACCATCACCACCCTACACCACCATCACTACAATTACCACCATCACTACAATTACCACCATCACCACCCCACACCACCATCACCACCCCACCATCACCACCCCACACCACCATCACTCACCTCCTTGAGGAACGTCTTCTGAGTCTCCTCGTCACACTGAATCACCTCCTTCATCACCATCACCTCCCCCGTCTCTCTGTGTGTAACCTACATCACCATCATCATCACCATCATCATCACCATCACCATCATCACCATCATCACCATCACAATCATCATCATCATCACCTCCTTCATCACCATCACCTCCCCCGTCTCTCTGTGTGTAACCTAAATCACCATCATCACCATTATCACCATCATCATCATCACCATCACCACCATCATCATCACCATCATCACCATCATCATCACCATCATCATCATCACCTCCTTCATCACCATCACCTCCCCCGTCTCTCTGTGTGTAACCTAAATCACCATCATCACCATCATCATCATCACCATCATCACCATCATCACCATTATCACCATCATCATCATCACCATCACCACCATCATCATCACCATCATCACCATCATCATCACCATCATCATCATCACCTCCTTCATCACCATCACCTCCCCCGTCTCTCTGTGTGTAACCTACATCACCATCACCATCATCACCACCATCATCATCATCACCATCATTAACATCATCATCATCACTACCATCATCACCACCATCATTAACATCACCATCACCTCCCCCGTCTCTCTGTGTGTAACCTACATCACCATCATCATCATCACCACCATCATCATCACCATCATTAACATCATCAACGAATGAACGCGTGAACGAACGAGTGAACGAACGAGTGAAGGAACAAACGAACGAGTGAACGAACGAGTGAAGGAACGAACGAGTGAATGAACGAATGAATGAGTGAACGAACGAGTGAACGAACGAGTGAACGAACGAATGAGCGAACGAACGAGTGAATGAACGAATGAACGAGTGAACGAACGAGTGAAGGAACGAATGAACGAGTGAACGAACGAGCGCACGAACGAGTGAACGAACGAATGAGTGAATTAACGAATGAACGAGTGAACGAACGAGTGAACGAACGAATGAACGAGCGAACGAACGAGTGAATGAACGAACGAGTGAACGAACGAATGAACGAGTGACGGAGTGAATGAACACACGAATGAACAAGTGAACGAACCAGTGAACGAACGAGTGAACGAACGAGTGAACGAACGAATGAGTTAATGAACGAATGAACGAGTTAACGAACGAGTGAACGAACGAATGAACAAACGAGCGAACGAACGAGTGAATGAACGAACGAGCGAACGAACGAGTGAATGAACGAATGAACGAGTGAACGAACGAGTGAACTAACGAGTGAACGAACGAGTGAACGAACGAATGAGTGAATGAACGAAAGAACGAGTGAACGAACGAGTGAACGAACGAATGAACTAACGAGCGAACGAACGAGTGAATTAACGAATGAACGAGTGAACGAACCAGTGAACGAACGAATGAACGCGTGAACGAACGAGCGAGCGAGCGAGTGAACGAACGAGTGACGGAGTGAATGAACACACGAACGAACGAACGAGTGAATGAACACGCGAACGAACGTGCGAATGAACGAACGAGCGGGCGGGCGGGCGGGGCACCTTGATGGCCTGCCCGAAGAATCCCTTGCCCAGCACCTCGCCGTGGATGAGGTCGGAGGGGCGGAAGACTCGCTGGCTCGGCTTGGAGACGACTCGGAGCGACTCGGAGCGGCTCAGCTCCTTCCTGCCGGGGGCGGGGCCGCCGCCGCCGGCCCCGCCCCCCGCCCCGCCCCAAGCCCCGCCCCCCGCCCCGCCCCCAAGCCCCGCCCCCGCCTGGTGGTGGGGGTGGATGAGGGGGGCGGCGGCGGCGGCGGCCCCCCCCAGGCCGGCGGCCCCGCGGGGCGGCTGGCAGACCTCGGCGATGGAGAGGGAGGAACGCTCGATGCTGCTGCTTCGACTGGTGGCGGGGCGGTGGGTGGGGGGTGGTGGGTGGTGGGTGGGGGGAGAGGGTAGGGGGGTGGGAGATTAGTGGTGGTGGTGGTGGTGGTTGTTGTGGTTGCAGCGGCGGTGGTGGTGGCCACCACCGCCGCTGCAACCACTCACCCACTCACTCATTCATTCACTCACCCACTCACTCATTCACTCACTCACTCACTCATTCACTCACCCACTCACTCATTCACTCACTCACTCACTCATTCACTCACTCACTCACCCACCCACTCACTCACTCACCCACCCACCCACTCACTCACTCACCCACCCACTCACTCACTCACTCACCCACCGACCCACCCACCCACCCACTCACTCACCCACCCACCCACTCACCCACCCACCCACTCACCCACCCACCCACTCACCCACCCACCCACCCACCCACTCACCCACCCACCCACTCACTCACCCACCCACTCACTCACCCACTCACTCACTCACCCACCCACTCACTCACCCACCCACTCACTCACCCACTCACTCACTCACTCACCCACCCACCCACTCACCCCCCCACCCACCCACTCACTCACCCTCCCCCCCCCACCCACCCCCCCACTCCCCCCCACCCCCCCCCACCCACGTGCGTGAGTGTCGGTGCCGGGGACTCCCCCCGAGCCTCTTGGGCCGGGCGCGGGGGGCAGAGGTCACGGCGGGGTCAGGGGTCAGTAGGGGGCATAGGCCGCCACCTCCTCCACCACCTCCTCCACCTCCTCCTCCACCGCCTCCACCTCCACCGCCTCCACCTCCTCCTCCACCGCCTCCACCTCCTCCTCCACCGCCTCCACTGCCTCCACACTGCTGACCACCGCCCCCACCACCGCCCGTAGCGAAGGAGGGGCAGTGGTGTGGGTCATGTTCTATCGTCAGCTGGAGCGACTGTCCCGTCTGCCTGATCAGCTGGGTGATCTGGGGGCGGGGGGGGGAGAGGACGGTGGGGGGGTGAGACGTGCGTGTGTGTGTACACGTGTGTGTGTGTCTGTGTGTGTGTGTGTACACGTGTGTGTACGTGCGTGTGTACGTGTGTACACGTGTGTGCATGTACGTGTGTGTGTGTGTGCATGTACGTGTGTGTGTGTGTGCGCGTGTGTGTGTGCGTGTGTGTGAGTGTGTGTGTGTACGTGTGAGTGTGTACGTGTGCATGTGTACGTGTGTGTACGTGTGTGAGTGTGTACGTGTGTGTGTGTGCACGTGTATGTACGTGTGAGTGTGTGTACGTGTGTGTACGCGTGTGTACGTGTGTGTACGTGTGTGTGTGCGTGTGTGTACGTGTGAGTGTGTGTACATGTGTGTACGTGTGAGTGTGTGTACGTGTGTGTACGTGTGAGTGTGTGTACGCGTGTGTGTGTGTACGTGTGTGTGTACGTGTGTGTACGTGTGAGTGTGTGTACGTGTGTGTGTACGTGTGTGTACGCGTGTGTACGTGTGTGTACGTGTGTGTGTACGTGTGTGTACGTGTGTGTGTGTACATGTGTACGTGTGAGTGTGTGCGTGTGTACGTGTCTGTACGTGTGCGTTTGTACGTGTGTGTACGTGTGAGTGTGTGTACGTGTGTGTACGTGTGTACGTGTATGTGTGTGTACGTGTGTACGTGTGTGTACGTGTGTGTGAGTGTGTGTACGTGTATGTACGTGTGTGTGTGTACGTGTGTGTGTGTACGTGTGTATGTTTGTGTGTACGTGTGTGTGTACGTGTGTGTGTGTGTACGTGTGTGTACGTGTGAGTGTGTGTACGTGTGTGTACGTGTGTGTGTACGTGTGTGTACATGTGAGTGTGTGTACGTGTGTGTACGTGTGTACGTGTATGTGTGTGTACGTGTGTAGTCCGGCAAAAACAACCCCCTACCTCCTCGCGGTGCCGGACGGGCAACTCTGTCGTGGACAGCGCTGTGGGGGGAGATCCAATTTTGATTGGCTCCTCCCCTCATGGCATATGTGTCCACCACAGGGGCTAAACGGGGGCTCTGGACGGGTGCGAGGGGCTGGTAACCCCTCCACCTTCAATTAATTACCACGAAACCACGAATTAAACTGAAATATGTAACAACTAAGCTTGTGCCGGAGGCCCCGGGGGGCCAGGCGTCTATGACGTCTCCTGGCCAAACCCCAATTGGCGGAGCCAGGAGATTGAATACCTACCCTCGGGGCTACTCCAGAAACAACGAAAAGCCACTACGGGTGGCCACGTGGAATGTTCGAACGCTCACTGCAGAGGAGAGGCTGCCACTCCTCTGTCGGGAGCTGGACCGGTACCGCCTGGATCTATGCGGCATTCAGGAGGTCCGGTGGACCGGCTCTGGCTCCTGCCACCATGAGGGGTGGACAGTCCTCTACTCGGGGCAGCAGACTGCCAAACAACAGGGTGTGGGTCTTCTTTTGAACAAAAGAATGAAGGGGGCGTGGGAGCGTGGCGGTGAGGTGTGGGAAGCTGTAAGCCCCAGGCTACTTTGGGCTCGCCTTCCCATCAACCGGAGGCGAGGAATGGTGGTCGTGGTTACTTATGCCCCCACCGAAGATGAACATCCGTGGAGGGATGCAGGCAAAGCCGATGAGTCAGATGCCTTCTATGACCTCCTGTCACAGGTGCTGGCTAAAGTGGCCCCTCGGGATAGAGTCATCATGTTGGGTGACTTCAATGCCCGAGTTGGTCATGATACTGGCACCTGGTCTGGAGTGATTGGAGGGCATGGGCCAGATCAGCTCAATAACAACGGTAGGAGGCTGCTAGATTTTTGTGCAGCCCATGGGCTTGTAATTACCAACACGCTGTTCCGGCATCGGCGCATCCACACAACATCGTGGATGCATGCCGGGTCCAAGCAAGAACATCTGCTGGACTACATAGTGACGGACCAGCGAATGCGAGCCCATGTCCTTGACACCAGGACCTACCGTGGAGCTGATCTGCCCTCTGACCATCGACTAGTCATCTGTAAGATGCGCCTGCCATTCTTCCACTCCGGTGGTGGGTGTACACCCAGGACCCCATTCCAACCTAAAGTGGCCTGGTCTCAGTTATCTGATGAAAGTTGCAAGCGAGAATTTCATCATCGCTTGCGGCTGGGATTGGCATCGTCCCCGACTCCTCCTGATGTCGAGGGTAAATGGGCGAGGTTTAGGACTGTGACTCATGCAGCTGCAATGGCTGCTCTGGGTACGCGGTCCAGACCTCCCCAGACACCCTGGATGACAGAGGAGTTGTTCAGGATGGTTGAGAAAAAGCGACAGGCCCACTGTCATCGGCTACAGAATCCCACGTCAGAGAATGAGGAGGCTTACCGCAGCCTTTGCTCGGAGGTTCGGAGAGCCGTGAGGCGCTGCAAGGATGGGTGGTGGTCGCGGGTTGCTGAGGAGATGGAGTCTGCCTCAGTGGCCCGTGATCACAAATCTCTATTTAACTCCATCAAAAAAGTAACCTGCAGCGCCACACCTATTACCATCATTAGAAGAAAAAACGGTGATCCAATTTCCGACCCCCAGGAACAGGTTCGCAGATTTGCTGAGCATTTCTGTGAGGTCCTGGGGGAGGGAAAATCCTTCAGCCAGGAAAACATCGTGGCACAAAGTGAGGATGACCCTGCTGAGGCTGCGGTGCCTCAAATATTGGATGAAGTCACCCCCTGTGAGTGGCTGGCTGAGGTGCCATCTGCTGAGGAAGTATTGAAGGCGATCCGGAGTCTGAGACCAGGAAAGGCAGCGGGCAGAGATGATCTCCCAAGCGAAATGCTGAGGGAGGGTGGCGTTTGTGCACAGACTGCCCTATATGACATCATAACAACAGTCTGGACCACTGGACGGGTTCCGCAGGATTGGAAGGATGCCCTGGTGGTCCCCCTTTTTAAGAAGGGGGACCGCACAGACTGTAACAACTACAGGGGCATCTCACTCCTCAGTGTGCCGGGAAAGGTCCTGGCAAGGATTATTCAGCATCGCCTTGCCAGGCACGCTGAGGAGAGGCTTGCGGAGCCCCAATGCGGTTTCAGGAAAGGGCGGTCCTGCACAGATGCCATATTTTCTGTCCGTCTGCTACAGCAGAGGTGTAGGGAATTCCAACAAGACCTACATCTCTGCTTTATTGACCTGGTCAAGGCCTATGATACCATCAGTAGGCCTGGGCTCTGGGTCGTTCTTCGTGCTTTTGGAGTACCTGACCCTCTGCTCACGATCATTAAGGACCTTCATGATGGTGAGCGGGCCCGGGTAAAACTACGTGGCCGGGAGTCAGAGCCATTCCCTGTACATCTTGGGGTGCAACAGGGATGTCCTCTGGCTCCCACATTATTTAACATCTATTTTGACCACGTAGTTCGTGAAGCCTTCAATAGCTGTACCGGGGGAATCTCCATATGGTACAGATATAATGGGAGGCTAATCGATGCCCGGGTGCGGTCAAGGGATGGCTCCCTATTGCTCAACCACATTATGTATGCTGATGATTTGGTAATAGCTGCTCAGTCAGAGGAGGAGTTGGAGACGCTGCTGCCGAGACTGGAGCGTGCCACTAAGAGGTGGGGCCTTACCATCAGCCCCACCAAAACTAAGCACCTGCCTGGGTATTTTGTACCATCGGACACTTCACCCCCACAACTCCCAATCGGTGATGGGGCAGTTGTGGAGAGAGTGGAGAGTTTCCCATACCTGGGCAGTGTGCTTATGACTGGCTCCAGTTTAACAGCAGAGGTCTCACTCCGAATCAGTCGAGCGGCAATATCTTTTCATCGGTTGCGTAACGCTGTGTGGAAGCTACCTGGTCTGTCGCTCCGCACTAAGCTTCAGGTCTTCTCGGCCACGGTCATTCCCTCCCTTCTCTACGCTTGCGAAACGTGGACCCCCCTAATGGAACATCTTCGCCGGTTAGAAACATTTAGGCTGGCCTGCCTACGATCCATCCTGGGTTTAACCAGACTGGATTGTGTGAGGAGCTCACAAATCCTTGAAAGATCTGGGCAGGGTCCCATCGGTGAGCTCCTCCGGCAGGCAAGGCTGCGATGGCTGGGTCATGTAGCCCGCATGCCCAGCCACCGCATGCCGAAACAGCTTTTGTTTGGCCGGATTGAGGGGGCTAAGCGGGCGCGGCACGGGCTAGAGAAGAGATGGAGTGATGTGGTACAGGAGGACGTGGAGCTGAGTGGACTTGCCGATGACTGGTACCAGCGGTGTCAAGATCGGCCTCTGTGGAGGAGGCTCGTGAAGGACGCCGCTACTGGGCAGTTGGAGGCAGTCGCCCTCCAACAACAACGGAGGGCGGAGGAGCGACGCTCACAACAGCGAGCGGAGCGCCGGGTGGCTAAAGCACAGCAGGTTGGCACAGTAGGGGGCACAGGTGGTGCATCAGCCAGTCATCTCAGTCAGTCGACCCATGGCACCTGGGTCTGCCCCGTGACCTCCTGCCAGCGGGCGTTCGACACTTCACGTGGCCTCAGGGTGCACATAGCCTGGCACAAGCGTCGTGGTGACGTCACCGCCACTTAGTGGCGAATGGCGGTTGTTGTTGTTGTTGTACGTGTGTGTACGTGTGTGAGTGTGTGTACGTGTGTGTACGTGTACGTGTGTGTGTGTACGTGTGTGTGTGTACGTGTGTATGTGTGTGTGTACGTGTATGTGTACGTGTGCGTGTGTACGTGTGTGTGTGTACGTGTGTGTACGTGTGTGTGTGTACGTGTGTGTACATGTGAGTGTGTACGTGTGTGTACGTGTGTGTACGTGTGACTGTGTACATGTGTGTACGTGTGAGTGTGTGCGTGTGTACGTGTGTGTACGCGTGTACGTGTGTGTGTACGTGTGTACGTGTGTGTACTTGTGAGTGTGTGTGTGTGTACGCGTGTACACGTGTGTACGTGTGTGTACTTGTGAGTGTGTGTGTGTGTACGCGTGTACACGTGTGTACATGTGTGTACGTGTGTACGTGTGTGTACGTGTGTGTGTACGTGTGTGTACGTGTGTGTACGCGTGTGTACGTGTGTGTGTGTGTGTACGCGTGTGTACGCGTGTGTACGTGTGTGTACGCGTGTGTACGCGTGTGTACGTGTGTGTACGTGTGTGTACACGTGTACGCGTGTGTACGTGTCTGTACGTGTGTGTGTGTACATGTGTACGTGTGAGTGTGTGCATGTGTACGTGTGAGTGCGTGCGTTTACATGTGAGTGTGTGTACGTGTGTGTACGTGTGTGTTACTCCACCTGGTCGCGGGAGACGCTGTGCACCGGCGTGCCGTTGATCTCCAGGATGAGGTCCCCCACGTGGATGGTGTTCTTTACCTCCGCCGTCAGATTCTCAGAGTCCACCCTGCACACACAAAGACAACAAAGGTCCCCCGTGTAGCCTTAACAGACTGTAGGGGCAAGTGCTGTTAGCGAGCAGCACCTATGAAGGCCGGTAACGGTACACGAGGGGGTGGGTGGCCAGCACCACGCCCGACCGCCTTTGTCTCCCCAGTGGCGATGTTTACTACACACCGCACCAGGTACTCATTTGAGGCCGAGTCGACCTAGGGGAGGCCCGGGACCGGTTCAGATAATCGTCACTGGTGTTGGCCGTGAGCGGGAATCGAACCCGGGTCGCCAGGTTCATAGCGCAGCGCGCTAACCGCTACACTACCGCTCCCCACACACACACGTACATACACATGTACACACACGTACCGTTACACACAGACACACACCACAACAACAACCGCCATTCGCCACTAAGTGGCGGTGTCGTCACCACGACGCTTGTGCCAGGCTATGTGCACCTTGAGGCCACGTGAAGTGTCGAACGCCCGCTGGCAGGAGGTCACGGGGCAGACCCAGGTGCCACGGGTCGACTGACTGAGATGACTGGCTGATGCAACACCTGTGCCCCCTACTGTGCCAACTTGCTGTGCTTTAGCCACCCGGCGCTCCGCTAGTTGTTGTGAGCGTCGCTCCTCCGCCCTCCGTTGTTGTTGGAGGGCGACTGCCTCCAACTGCCCAGTAGCAGCGTCCTTCACGAGCCTCCTCCACAGAGGCCGATCTTGACACCGCTGGTACCGGTCATCGGCAAGTCCACTCAGCTCCACGTCCTCCTGTACCACGTCACTCCATCTCTTCTCTAGCCCGTGCCGCACCCGTTTAGCCCGCTCCATCCGGCCGAACAAAAGCTGTTTAGAGGCATGCGGTGGCTGGGCATGCGGGCTACATGACCCAGCCAACACAGCCTTGCCTGCCGGAGGAGCTCACCGATGGGACGTTGCCCAGATCTTTCAAGCATTTGTGAGCTCCTCACACAATCCAGCCTGGTTAAACCCAGGATTGATCGTAGGCAGGCCAGCCTAAATGTTTCTAACCGGCGAAGATGTTCCATTAGGGGATTCCACGTTTCGCAAGCGTAGAGAAGGGAGGGAATGACTGTGGCCGAGAAGACCTGAAGCTTAGTGCGGAGCGACAGACCAGGTAGCTTCCACACAGCGTTACGCAACCGATGAAAATATATTGCCGCTCGACTGATTTGGAGTGAGACCTCTGCTGTTAAACTGGAGCCAGTCATAAGCACACTGCCCAGGTATGGGAAACTCTCCACTCTCTCCACAACTGCCCCATCACCGATTGGGAGTTGTGGGGGTGGAGTGTCCGATGCTACAAAATACCCAGGCAGGTGCTTAGTTTTGGTGGGGCTGATGGTAAGGCCCCACCTCTTAGTGGCACGCTCCAGTCTCAGCAGCAGCGTCTCCAACTCCTCCTCTGAATGAGCGGCTATTACCAAATCATCGGCATACATAACGTGGTTGACCAATAGGGAGCCATCCCTTGACCGCACCCGGGCATCGATAAAGCCTCCCATTATATCTGTACCATATAGAGATTCCCCCGGTACAGCTATTGAAGGCTTCACGAACTACGTGGTCAAAATAGATGTTAAATAATGTGGGAGCCAGAGGACATCCCTGTCGCACCCCCCCAAGGTGTACAGGGAATGGCTCTGACTCCCAGCCACGTAGTTTTACCCGGGTCCGCTCACCATCATGAATGTCCTTAATGATCGTGAACAGAGGGTCAGGTACTCCAAAAGCACGAAAAACAACCCAGAGCCCAGGCCTACTGATGGTATCATAGGCCTTGACCAGGTCAATAAACCAGAGATGTAGGTCTTGTTGGAATTCGCTACACCTCTGCTGTAGCAGACGGACAGAAAATATGGCATCTGTGCAGGACCGCCCTTTCCTGAAACCGCATTGGGGCTCCGCAAGCCTCTCCTCAGCGTGCCTGGCAAGACGATGTTGTTGAATAATCCTTGCCAGGACCTTTCCCGGCCTCACACTGAGGAGTGAGATGCCCCTGTAGTTGTTACAGTCTGTGCGGTCCCCCTTCTTAAAGAGGGGGACCACCAGGGCATCCTTCCACTCCTGCGGAACCCATCCAGTGGTCCAGATTGTTGTCATGATGTCACGTAGGGCAGTCTGTGCACAAACGCCACCCTCCCTCAGCATTTCGCTTGGGCGATCATCTCTGCCCGCTGCCTTTCCTGGTTTCACAGACACACAGTGACACACACACAGTGACATCACGCGCAGCATCATCAGGTGCCAGGCTAGGTGCACGCGGGCACACGCACTTACTCGTGCACACGCACGCTGTGGGCAGCCACTCCTCCACCTCCGCCCCTCTCCCTCCCGTTGCCCTCCGCGCTCTCCACCATCACGGCATCACCGCCACCACCGCCACCGCCGCCATCAACCACGGCAGCAGCCGGAGAGACTGCGGCAGTGGCGGTGAGTGTGGTGAAGCCTGTGGTGGTGGTGGTGGAGGTGGTGGTGGAGGCGGTGAAGCCGGTGGTGGTGCTGGTGGTGGTGGAGGCGGTGAAGCCGGCGGTGGAGGCGGTGAAGCCGGTGGTGGTACAGCCGGTGGTGGTACAGCCGGTGGTGGTACAGCCGGTGGTGGTACAGCCGGTGGTGGTACAGCCGGTGGCGTTGCTGCTGGTGAAGCCGGCGAAGTTGTTGGTGGCGTTGTTGTTGTTGGTGCCGGTGGTGGTGCCGGTGCCGGTGGTGCCGGTGCCGGTGCCGGTGTCGGCGGCGGTGGCGGAGGGGTCGATGGTGACGGAGAACCCGCGGTTGGCGCCGCCGCCGCCGGCGGGCAGCGAGAGCAGGGACACCGTGTGCGGTAGCGTGGCCGCCGCCGCCGCCGGAGACGCCGGGGACAGCCGCTCCACCGCAGGGGCCACCACCAGCTCGCGGTAACACGTGCCGCTGGGGGGGGGGGGGGGGGGGAGAGGGGGGGGGAGAGGGGGAAGGGGCACGGGGGGGAAGGGGAGAGGGGGGAGGGAAGGGGAGAGGGAGGGGGGAGGAGAGGGAGTGAGGGGGCACGGGGGGAAGGGGAGAGGGGGAGGGGAGAGGGAGGGGGGGAGGAGAGTGAGGAGGGAGAGGGGGAGGGGGCATGGGGAGAGGGAGGGGGGAGAGGGAGGGGGGAGGAGAGGGAGTGAGGGGGGGGAGGGGGCACGGGGGGAAGGGGAGAGGGGAAGGGGAGAGGGGAGGGGGGAAGGGGAGAGGGGGAGGGGGGAGAGGGAGGGGGGAGGAGAGGGGGTGAGGGGGGGGAGGGGGCACGGGGGGTAGAGGGAGGGGGGTGAGGGGTGTAGGGAGGGGATAGAGGGGGAGGGAGGGGGGAGGAGAGGAGTGAGGAGAGGGGGCACGGGGGATAGAGGGAGGGGGCACGGGGGAGGGGGTAGAGGGGGAGGGGGCACGGGGGGGTAGAGGGAGGAGAGGAGTGGGGGGGGGGGAGAGGGAGTGAGGGGGCACGGGGGGGGGGAGAGGGAGGGGGGTGAGGGGGGTAGGGGGAGGGGGGTAAAGGAGGATGGGGGGAAGGAGGAGAGAGGGGGGGCACGAGGGGGGGCATGGGTAAAGAGGCGGGGAGAAGGAGCACAGGGGGGGTGGTGGTGGAGGGGGTGGGCAGGGAGGGAGGGAGGGGGGTAGGGGTGGGGGAGTCACGTGGACAGGTGAGGATGTCTTCAGGACCTGCACTCAGAGAGCTGTGACGCTGTGTGTGTGACGATGTGTGTGTGTGACGATGTGTGTGTGTGACGATGTGTGTGTGAAGATGTGTGTGTGTGACGCTGTGTGTGACGCTGTGTGTGTGACGCTGTGTGTGTGTGACGCTGTGTGTGTGAAGATGTGTGTGTGTGACGCTGTGTGTGTGTGACGATGTGTGTGTGAAGATGTGTGTGTGTGACGCTGTGTGTGTGACGCTGTGTGTGACGCTTTGTGTGTGACGCTGTGTGTGTGACGCTGTGTGTGTGACGCTGTGTGTGTGACGCTGTGTGTGTGACGCTGTGTGTGCGTGACACTGTGTGTGACACTGTGTGTGTGTGTCGCTGTGTGTGTGTGACGCTGTGTGTGTGTGACCCTGTGTGTGTGTGACGCTGTGTGTGCATGATGCTGTGTGTGTGTGACGCTGTGTGTGATGCTGTGTGTGTGACGCTGTATGTGTGACGCTGTGTGTGTGATGCTGTGTGTGTGTGACACTGTGTGTGTGTGACGCTGTGTGTGTGACGCTGTGAGTGTGACGCTGTGTGTGTGTGACGCTGTGTGTGACGCTGTGTGTGTGTGACGCTGTGTGTGTGACGCTGTGTGTGTGTGACGCTGTGTGTGTGTGACGCTGTGTGTGTGTGATGCTGCGTGTGTGTGACGCTGTATGTGAGACAAAGTGTGTGTGACGCTGTGTGTGTGACGCTGTGTGTGTGTGTGACGCTGTGTGTGTGACGCTGTGTGTGTGTGACGCTGTATGTGAGACAATGTGTTTGTGTGACGCTGTGTGTGTGACGCTGTGTGTGTGACGCTGTGTGTGTGATGCTGTGTGTGTGATGCTGTGCGTGTGTGACGCTGTGCGTGTGTGACGCTGTGCGTGTGTGACGCTGCGTGTGTGACGCTGTGTGTGTGACTCTGTGTGTGACACTGTGTGTGTGACGCTGTGTGTGTGACGCTGTGTGTGACCATGTGTGGGACGCTGTGTGTGTGGCGCTGTGTGTGTGACGCTGTGTGTGTGACCATGTGTGGGACGCTGTGTGTGTGACGCTGTGTGTGTGTCACGCTGTGTGTGACGCTGTGTGTGTGACGCTGTGTGTGTGACGCTGTGTGTGTGATGCTGTGTGTGACGCTGTGTGTGACGCTGTGTGTGTGACGCTGTGTGTGTGTGACGCTGTGTGTGTGTGACGCTGTGTGTGTGACGCTGTGTGTGTGACGCTGTGTGTGTGACGCTGTGTGTGTGACGCTGTGTGTGTGACGCTGTGTGTGACGCTGTGTGTGTGTGACGCTGTGTGTGTGTCACTGTGTGTGACGCTGTGTGTGTGTGACGCTGTGTGTGTGTGACGCTGTGTGTCTGTGATGCTGTGTGTGTGACGCTGTGTGTGTGACGCTGTGTGTGTGTGTGACGCTGTGTGTATGACGCTGTGTGTGTGACGCTGTGTGTGACGCTGTGTGTGACGCTGTGTGTGTGACGCTGTGTGTGTGTGACGCTGTGTGTGTGACGCTGTGTGTGTGTGACACTGTGTGTGTGACGCTGTGTGTGTGACACTGTGTGTGTGACGCTGTGTGTGATGCTGTGTGTGTGTGTGACCCTGTGTGTGTGACGCTGTGTGTGACGCTGTGTGTGTGACGCTGTGTGTGTGACGCTGTGTGTGTGTGACGCTGTGTGTGACGCTGTGTGTGTGATGCTGTGTGTGTGACGCTGTGTGTGTGTGACGCTGTGTGTTAGTGACTCTGTACCAGTATAGCGTGCTTCTCTCCACCAGGGCGTAGATGTGTGTGTGTGACGCTGTGTGTGTGTGACGCTGTGTGTGTGACGCTGTGTGTGTGATGCTGTGTGTGTGAGACGCTGTGTGTTAGTGACTCTGTACCAGTATAGCGTGCTTCTCTCCACCAGGGCGTAGGTGTCTCCATCCCCGATGTGCTCCCCGCAGGCGCCGCAGCTGAAGCACTCCGGGTGGAACTTCTGACTGCCGGCCACCTGCACCAAGACAGAGGCAAAGGTTCACCCAGGTAGCCTCTAACAGGACTGTCGGGGCAAGGGTTGTTAGTAGCGAGTGGCAGCAGCAGCAGCAGCGCCTACGAAGACCGTCACTGTGGCACACACACAGCGTCACACACACAGCGTCACACACACAGCGTCACACACACACACACACAGTGTCACACAAACACAGTGTCACACAAACACAGCGTCACACACACAGCGTCACACACACACAGCGTCACACAAACACAGCGTCACACGCAGTGTCACACACACACAGCGTCACACACACAGCGTCACACACACAGCGTCACACAAACACAGCGTCACACACACAGCGAAACACACAGCGTCACACACACACAGCGAAACACACAGTGTCTCTCACACACACAGCGTCACACACACAGCGTCAGACACACAGTGTCTCACACACACACAGCGTCACACACACAGCGTCACACACACAGCGTCACACACACAGTGTCTCACACACGCACAGCGCCAGACACACAGCGAAACACAGTGTCACACACACACAGCGTCACACACACGCAGCGTCACACACACAGCGTCAGACACACAGCGTCAGACACACACAGTGTCACACACACACAGCGTCACACACACGCAGCGTCACACACACGCAGCGTCACACACACAGCGTCACACACACAGCGTCACACACACAGCGTTACACACACGCAGCGTCACACACACGCAGAGTCACACACAGCGTCTCACACACACAGCGTCACACACACACACAGCGTCTCACACACACACAGCGTCACACACAGCGTCACACAGCGTCTCACACACACAGCATCACACACACACATCGTCACACACACATCGTCACACACACACACATCGTCACACACACAGCGTCACACACACACAGCATCACACACACAGCGTCACACACACACAGCGTCACACACACAGCATCACACACACACACAGCGTCACACACACAGCGTCACACACACAGCATCACACACACACACAGCGACACACACACAGCGTCACACACGCAGCATCTCACACACACGCAGCGTCACACACACAGCGTCTCACACACACACAAAGTCACACACACAGCGTCACACACAGCGAAACACACACAGTGTCACACACACAGCGTCACACACACAGCATCACACACAGCGTCACACACACAGCGTCACACACACACAGCGTCACACACACACAGCGTCACACACACACACAGAGGTGGGTGAGTGGGTGCGACAGCGTCACCACGCCCGGCCGTCTTTCCCCTCGTGGCGATCTTTCACCACTACACCACCACCACCACCGCACCAGGTGACTCGTTTGAGGCTGAGTCGACCTAGGGGAGTCCCCAGGACCGGCTCAGATCAACGTCACTGCCGGTGTTGGTTGCCGCGAGCGGGGATCGAACTCGGGTCGCCGAGCTCGTAGCGCTACTAAACTACCGCAGAGGCAAAGCTCCCCCGTGTAGCCTCTAGCAGGCCGTCGGGGCAAGTGCTGTTAGTGTAGCGAGTAGCAGCAGCGCCTACGAAGGCCGAGGTGAGTGGCCACCACCACCACCACCACCACCACCTCCACGCCCAGCCGCCCCCCTCCCATCCGTCATCTTTGTCTCTCTCTGCTGATGTGCTTATACACAGACAAAGGTCCCCCGTGTAGCCTCTAACAAACTGCTAGGTCCAGTGGGCAGATCAGCTAGCAACTTTCATCAGCTAGCTGAGACCAGGCCACTAAAGATTTGAATGGGGGTCCTGGGTGTACATCCACCACCGGAGTGGAAGAATGGCAGGCGCATCTTACAGATGACAAGTCGATGGTCCAGTGGGCAGATCAGCTAGCAACTTTCATCAGCTAGCTGAGACCAGGCCACCTTAGATTTGAATGGGGTCCTGGGTGTACATCCACCACCGGAGTGGAAGAATGGCAGGCGCATCTTACAGATGACAAGTCGATGGTCCAGTGGGCAGATCAGCTAGCAACTTTCATCAGCTAGCTGAGACCAGGCCACTAAAGCTTTGAATGCGGGTCCTGGGTGTACACCCACCACCGGAGTGGAAAAATGGCAGGCGCATCTTACAGATGACAAGTCGATGGTCCAGTGGGCAGATCAGCTAGCAACTTTCATCAGCGAGCTGAGACCAGGCCACTAAAGATTTTAATGGGGGTCCTGGGTGTACACCCACCACCAGAGTGGAAGAATGGCAGGCGCATCTTACAGATGACAAGTCGATGGTCAGTGGGCAGATCAGCTAGCAACTTTCATCAGCTAGCTGAGACCAGGCCACTAAAGATTTGAATGTGGGTCCTGGGTGTACACCCACCACCGGAGTGGAAGAATGGCAGGCGCATCTTACAGATGGCAAGTCGATGGTCAGTGGGCAGATCAGCTAGCAACTTTCATCAGCTAGCTGAGACCAGGCCACTAAAGATTTGAATGGGGGTCCTGGGTGTACACCCACCACCGGCGTGGAAGAATGGCAGGCGCATCTTACAGATGACAAGTCGATGGTCCAGTGGGCAGATCAGCTAGCAACTTTCATCAGCTAGCTGAGACCAGGCCACTAAAGATTTGAATGCGGGTCCTGGGTGTACACCCACCACCAGAGTGGAAGAATGGCAGGCGCATCTTACAGATGACAAGTCGATGGTCCAGTGGACAGATCAGCTCCACGGTAGGTCCCGGTGTCAAGGACATGGGCCCGCATCCGCTGTTCCGTCACTACGTAGTCCAGCAGATGTTCTTGCTTGGACCCGGCATGCATCCGTGATGTTGTGTGGATGCGCCGATGCCGGAACAGCGTGTTGGTAATTCCAAGCCCATGGGCTGCACAAAAATCTAGCAGCCTCCTACCGTTGTTATTGAGCTGATCTGGCCCATGCCCTCCAATCACTCCAGACCAGGTGCCAGCATCATGACCAACTTGGGCATTAAAGTCACCCAACAAGATGACTATCACGTGGGGCCACCTTAGCCAGCACCTGTGACAGGAGGTCATAGAAGGCATCTGACTCATTGGCCTTGCCTGCATCCATCCGTCAATGGGAGCGAAAGTAACCATGACCGTACAGAGATACGCACAGACACAGAGATACAAACACAGATACGCACACGCAGATACGCACACGCAGATTCACACACACACGCAGATACACACACACAGACACACACAGACACACACACACACAGACACATACACAGACACACACAGACACACACACACACACAGACACACACAGACACACACACAGACAGACACACACACAGACAGACACACACACACAGACACACACACACACACAGATACACACGCACAGATACACACACACACAGATACATACACACACATACACACACACACATACACACACAGACACACACAAACAGACACACACACACACAGACACACACACAGACACACACACACACACACAGACACACACACACAGACACACACACAGACACACACACACAGACACACACACACACAGACACACACAGACACACACACACACAGACACACACACACACAGACACACACAGACACACACACAGACACACACACACACAGACACACACACAGACACACACACACACAGACACACACACACAGACACACACACACACAGACACACACACACAGACACACACACACAGACACACACACACAGACACACACACACAGACACACACACACAGACACACACACAGACACACACACACAGATACACACACAGACACACACACACAGACACACACACACACAGACACACACACACAGACACACACACACACAGACACACACACACACACAGACACACACACACAGATACACACACAAGCAGATACACACAGACACACGCAGATACACACAGACACACGCAGATACACACAGACACACGCAGATACACACACACACAGATACACACACACACAGATACACACACACACAGACACACAGATACACACACACACACAGATACACACACACACACACAGATACACACACACACAGACACACACACACACACAGACACATACACACAGACACACACAGACACACACACACAGACACACACACACAGATATACACACACACATACACACATACAGACACACACAGAGACACACACACACAGACACACACACACAGACACACACACACACAGACACACACACAGACACACACACACAGACACACACACACAGATACACACACACAGACACACACACACAGACACACACACACACAGACACACACAGACACACACACACAGACACACACAGACACACACACACACAGACACACACACACAGACACACACACAGACACACACACACACAGACACACACACAGATACACACACACAGATACACACACACACAGACACACACACACAGACACACACACACACAGACACACACACAGACACACACACAGACACACACACACAGATACACACACACAGACAAACACACACAGACACACACACACAGACACACACACACACAGACACACGCACACACACAGACACACACACACAGATACACACACACACACAGACACACACACACGCAGATACACACACACACACGCAGATACACACACACAGATACACACACACACACAGATACACACACACACAGACACACACAGACACACACACACACAGACACACACACACACAAACACACACACACAGACACACACACACAGATACACACACACACACAGACACACACACAGATACACACACACACAGACACACACACACACACAGATACACACACAGATGACAATTCGATGGTCCAGTGGGCAGATCAGCTAGCAACTTTCATCAGCTAGCTGAGACCAGGCCACTAAAGATTTGAATGCGGGTCCTGGGTGTACACCCACCACCGGAGTGGAAGAATGGGAGGCGCATCTTACAGATGGCAAGTCGATGGTCAGTGGGCAGATCAGCTCCACGGTAGGTCCCGGTGTCAAGGACATGGGCTCGCATCCGCTGTTCCGTCACTACGTAGTCCAGCAGATGTTCTTGCTTGGACCCGGCATGCATCCGTGATGTTGTGTGGATGTGCCGATGCCGGAACAGCGTGTTGGTAATTCCAAGCCCATGGGCTGCACAAAAATCTAGCAGCCTCCTACCGTTGTTATTGAGCTGATCTGGCCCATGCCCTCCAATCACTCCAGACCAGGTGCCAGCATCATGACCAACTTGGGCATTAAAGTCACCCAACAAGATGACTATCACGTGGGGCCACCTTAGCCAGCACCTGTGACAGGAGGTCATAGAAGGCATCTGACTCATTGGCCTTGCCTGCATCCCTCCATCGATGGGAGCGAAAGTAACCATGACCGTACAGAGATACGCACAGACACAGAGATACAAACACAGATACGCACACGCAGATACACACACACACACACACGCAGATACACACACACACAGATACGCACACGCAGATACGCACACGCAGATTCACACACACACACGCGAAGATACACACACACGCAGATACACAAACACAGACACGCAGATACACACACACACAGATACACACACACACACACAGACACACACACACAGATACACACACACACACAGACACACACACACACAGACACACAGACACACACACACACAGACACACACACAGATACACACACACACACAGACACACAGACAAACACAGACACACACACACAGACACACACAGACACACACACACACAGACACACACACACACACAGACACACACACACACAGATACACACACACACAGATACACACACACACACAGACACACACACACAGACACACAGACACACACACACAGACACACACACACAGACACACACACACACAGACACACACACACAGACACACACACACACACAGACACACACACACACACAGACACACACACAGATACACACACAGACACACACACACGCAGATACACACACACGCAGATACACACACACGCAGATACACACACAGATACACACACACACAGATACACACACACACAGACACACACACACACAGACACACACACACAGACACACACACACAGACACACACACACAGTCACACACACACACAGATACACACACACACAGACACACACACAGATACACACACACACAGATGACAATTCGATGGTCCAGTGGGCAGATCAGCTAGCAACTTTCATCAGCTAGCTGAGACCAGGCCACTAAAGATTTGAATGCGGGTCCTGGGTGTACACCCACCACCGGAGTGGAAGAATGGCAGGCGCATCTTACAGATGGCAAGTCGATGGTCAGTGGGCAGATCAGCTCCACGGTAGGTCCCGGTGTCAAGGACATGGGCCCGCATCCGCTGTTCCGTCACTACGTAGTCCAGCAGATGTTCTTGCTTGGACCCGGCATGCATCCGTGATGTTGTGTGGATGTGCCGATGCCGGAACAGCGTGTTGGTAATTCCAAGCCCATGGGCTGCACAAAAATCTAGCAGCCTCCTACCGTTGTTATTGAGCTGATCTGGCCCATGCCCTCCAATCACTCCAGACCAGGTGCCAGCATCATGACCAACTTGGGCATTAAAGTCACCCAACAAGATGACTATCACGTGGGGCCACCTCAGCCAGCACCTGTGACAGGAGGTCATAGAAGGCATCTGACTCATTGGCCTTGCCTGCATCCCTCCGTCAATGGGAGCGAAAGTAACCATGACCGTACAGAGATACGCACAGACACAGAGATACAAACACAGATACGCACACGCAGATTCACACACACACACGCAGATACACACACACACACGCAGATACACACACACACAGATACACACACACAGATACACACACACAGACACACACACAGACACACACACACAGATACACACACACACAAATAGACACACACACAGATACACACACACACAAACAGACACACACACAGATACACACACACAGATACACACACACACAGATACACACACACAGATACACACACACACAAACAGACACACACAAACAGACACACACACACACAAAGTACTACTTCACTGCCGCCACAACACTCCCCTCATTCCCCTCACCCCCAACCCCCTCTTCTCCCCCCCCACCACCTTACCTCCTCTCCCCACCCTCCCCTCACTCCCTTCCCCTCTCCCTCCCCCTCCCTCTGTCCCTCTCCCTCCCTCCCCCTCCCTCCCTCCCTCCCTCTCTCCCTCCATCTCCCCCTCTCCCTCCCCCTCTCTCTCCCTCCCCCTCCCTCCCTCCCTCTCTCCCTCCCCCTCCCTCCCTCCCTCCCTCTCTCCCTCCCCCTCTCCCCTCCCCCTCTTCCCTCCCTCTCTCCCTCCCCCTCTCCCTCCCCCTCTCCCTCCCTCCCTCCCTCCCTCCCCCTCCCTCCCCCCTCTCCCTCCCCCCCTCCCTCTCTCCCCCCTCCCCCTCTCTCCCTCCCCCTCTCTCCCTCCTCCCTCCCTCCCCCCTCTCTCTCCCTCCCTCCCCCTCTCCCTCCCTCTCCCCCTCCCTCCCCCTCTCCCTCCCCCTCTCCCTCCCTCTCCCTCCCTCCCTTCCTCCCCCTCCCTCCCTCCTTCCCTCCCCCTCCCTCCCCCTCCCTCCCTCCTTCCCTCCCCCTCCCTCCCTCTCTCCCTCCCGTCACTCCGTGCGCTCCGCCCCTCCCCCCGGCTCACCATGACAGGCCCCGTCATGACGAGGCTGCAGGCCTTGCAGGGTTCGCCGTACTTCTCCCAGAAGTCCCTCTGGCAGTAGAGGAGTCCATCCCTCTCGTAGTACCAGGCAGCCAGTCCCCTCTCGCACGCACAGCACCTGTAGTGACACACACACAGTGACACACACAGTGATACAGTCAGTGACACACACACACAGTGACACACACACACAGTGACACACACACAGTGATACACACACACAGTGACACAGTGACACACACAGTGACTCAGACAGTGACACACACACACAGTGACACACACACACACACAGTGACACACACACAGTGATACACACACACAGTGACACAGTGACACACAGTGACACACACAGTGACACACACACAGTGACACACACACACAGTGACACACACACAGTGACACACACAGTGACACACACACACAGTGACACACACAGTGACACACACAGTGACACACACACAGTGACACACACACACACAGTGACACACACACACACAGTGACACACACACACAGTGACACACACACACAGTGACACACACACACAGTGACACACACAGTGACACACACAGTGACACACACACAGTGACACACACAGTGACACACACACAGTGATACAGTCAGTGATACAGTCAGTGACACACAACAACAACCGCCATTCGCCACTAAGTGGCGGTGACGTCACCACGACGCTTGTGCCAGGCTATGTGCACCCTGAGGCCACGTGAAGTGTCGAACGCCCGCTGGCAGGAGGTCACGGGGCAGACCCAGGTGCCACGGGTCGACTGACTGAGATGACTGGCTGATGCACCACCTGTGCCCCCTACTGTGCCAACCTGCTGTGCTTAGCCACCCGGCGCTCCGCTCGTTGTTCTGAGCGTCGCTCCTCCGCCCTCCGTTGTTGTTGGAGGGCGACTGCCTCCAACTGCCCAGTAGCAGCGTCCTTCACGAGCCTCCTCCACAGAGGCCGATCTTGACACCGCTGGTACCAGTCATCGGCAAGTCCACTCAGCTCCACGTCTTCCTGTACCACATCACTCCATCTCTTCTCTAGCCCGTGCCGCGCCCGCTTAGCCCCCTCAATCCGGCCAAACAAAAGCTGTTTCGGCATGCGGTGGCTGGGCATGTGGGCTACATGACCCAGCCATCGCAGCCTTGCCTGCCAGAGGAGCTCACCGATGGGACCCTGCCCAGATCTTTCAAGGATTTGTGAGCTCCTCACACAATCCAGTCTGGTTAAACCCAGGATGGATCGTAGGCAGGCCAGCCTAAATGTTTCTAACCGGCGAAGATGTTCCATTAGGGGGGTCCACGTTTCGCAAGCGTAGAGAAGGGAGGGAATGACCGTGGCCGAGAAGACCTGAAGCTTTGTGCGGAGCGAAAGACCAGGTGGCTTCCACACAGCGTTACGCAACCGATGAAAAGATATTGCCGCTCGACTGATTCGGAGTGAGAACTCTGCTGTTAAACTGGAGCCAGTCATAAGCACACTGCCCAGGTATGGGAAACTCTCCACTCTCTCCACAACTGCCCCATCACCGATTGGGAGTTGTGGGGGTGGAGTGTCCGATGGTAGAAAATACCCAGGCAGGTGCTTAGTTTTGGTGGGGCTGATGGTAAGGCCCCACCTCTTAATGGCACGCTCCAGTCTCAGCAGCAGCGTCTCCAACTCCTCCTCTGAATGAGCAGCTATTACCAAATCATCAGCATACATAACGTGGTTGAGCAATAGGGAGCCATCCCTTGACCGCACCCGGGCATCGATTAGCCTCCCATTATATCTGTACCATATGGAGATTCCGCCGGTACAGCTATTGAAGGCTTCACGAACTACGTGGTCAAAATAGATGTTAAATAATGTGGGAGCCAGAGGACATCCCTGTCGCACCCCAAGGTGTACAGGGAATGGCTCTGAATCCCGGCCACGTAGTTTTACCTGGGCCCGCTCACCATCATGAAGGTCCTTAATGATCGTGAGCAGAGGGTCAGGTACTCCAAAAGCACGAAGAACAATCCAGAGCCCAGCCCTACTGATGGTATCATAGGCCTTGACCAGGTCAATAAAGCAGAGATGTAGGTCTTGTTGGAATTCCCTACACCTCTGCTGTAGCAGATGGACAGAAAATATGCCATCTGTGCAGGACCCCCCTTTCCTGAAACCGCATTGGGGCTCCGCAAGCCTCTCCTCAGCGTGCCTGGTAAGGCGATGTTGAATAATCCTTGCCAGGACCTCTCCCGGCACACTGAGGAGTGAGATGCCCCTGTAGTTGTTACAGTCTGTGCGGTCCCCCTTCTTAAAAAGGGGGACCACCAGGGCATCCTTCCAATCCTGCGGAACCCGTCCAGTGGTCCAGACTGTTGTTATGATGTCATATAGGGTAGTCTGTGCACAAACGCCGCCCTCCCTCAGCATTTCGCTTGGGAGATCATCTCTGCCCGCTGCCTTTCCTGGTCTCAGACTCCGGATTGCCTTCAGTACCTCCTCAACAGATGGCACCTCAGCCAGCCACTCACAGGGGGTGACTTCTTCCAATATTTGAGACACCGCAGCCTCAGCAGGGTCATCCTCACTTTGTGCCACGATGTTTTCCTGGCTGAGGGATTTTCCCTCCCCCAGGACCTCACAGAAATGCTCAGCAAATCTGCAAACCTGTTCCTGGGGGTCGGAGATTGGGTCACCGTTTTTTCCCCTAATGATAGTAATAGGTGTGGCACTGCAGATTACTTTTTTGATGGAGTTAAATAGAGATTTGTGATCACGGGCCACTGAGGCAGACTCCATCTCCTCAGCAACCCGCGACCACCACCCATCCTTGCAGCGCCTCACGGCTCTCCGAACCTCCGAGCGAAGGCTGCGGTAAGCCTCCTCATTCTCTGACGTGGGATTCTGTAGCCGATGACAGTGGGCCTGTCGCTTTTTCTCAACCATCCTGAACACCTCCTCTGTCAGCCAGGGTCTCTGGGGAGGTCTGGACCGCGTACCCAAAGCAGCCATTGCAGCTGCATGAGTCACAGTCCTAAACCTCGCCCATTTACCCTCGACATCAGGAGGAGTCGGGGACGATGCCAATCCCAGCCGCAAGCGATGATGAAATGCTCGCTTGCAACTTTCATCAGATAACTGAGACCAGGCCACTTTAGGTTGGAATGGGGTCCTGGGTGTACACCCACCACCGGAGTGGAAGAATGGCAGGTGCATCTTACAGATGACTAGTCGATGGTCAGAAGGCAGATCAGCTCCACGGTAGGTCCTGGTGTCAAGGACATGGGCTCGCATCCGCTGGTCTGTCACTATGTAGTCCAGCAGATGTTCTTGCTTGGACCCGGCATGCATCCATGATGTCGTGTGGATGCGCCGATGCCGGAACAGCGTGTTGGTAATTACAAGCCCATGGGCTGCACAAAAATCTAGCAGCCTCCTACCGTTGTTATTGAGCTGATCTGGCCCATGCCCTCCAATCACTCCAGACCAGGTGCCAGTATCATGACCAACTCGGGCATTGAAGTCACCCAACATGATGACTCTATCCCGAGGGGCCACTTTAGCCAGCACCTGTGACAGGAGGTCATAGAAGGCATCTGACTCATCGGCTTTGCCTGCATCCCTCCACGGATGTTCATCTTCGGTGGGGGCATAAGTAACCACGACCACCACTCCTCGCCTCCGGTTGATGGGAAGGTGAGCCCAAAGTAGCCTGGGGCTTACAGCTTCCCACACCTCACCGCCACGCTCCCACGCCCCCTTCATTCTTTTGTTCAAAAGAAGAGCCACACCCTGTTATTGGCAGTCTCCTGCCCCAAGTAGAGGACTGTCCACCCCTCATGGTGGCAGGAGCCAGAGCCGGTCCACCGGACCTCCTGAATGCCACATAGATCCAGGCGGTACCGGTCCAGCTCCCGACAAAGGAGTGGCAGCCTCTCCTCCGCAGTGAGCGTTCGAACATTCCACGTGGCCACCCGTAGTGGTTTTTCGTTGTTTCTGGAGGAGCCCCGAGGGTAGATATTGAATCTCCTGGCTCCGCCAATTGGGGTTTGGCCAGGAGACGTCATAGACGCCTGGCCCCCCGGGGCCTCCGGCACAAGCTTATTAGTTATATGACACACACACACACACAGAGGGGGTGGGTGGACACCACCACCAGCACCACCACCAGCACCACCACCAGCACCACCACCAGCACCACCACCACCAGCAGCACCACCACCACCAGCACCACCAGCACCATCACCAGCACCACCAGCACCACTAACGCACCACCAGCACCAACACCAGCACCACCAGCACCACCACCTACGCCCCCTTCCCCCCCGACGACCCCCCTAACGCCCCCCCCCCCCCCCAGGCCCCCCTACCGCCCCCCTGCAGTGGGCGCCGCGCTGCTGATGAGCCTGGGGCCTGGGGCAGGCGAAACCCGGTCGGGGGAGATCCACACGGAGGGGGGGGGGGGGGGTGTGGAGAGTGTGGTGTGTGTAATGTGTGTGTGTGTGTAGTGTGTGTAGTGTGTGTGTGTGGTGTGTGTGTGCAGTGTGTGTGTGTGTGGTGTGTGTGTGGTGTGTGTGTGGTGTGTGTGTGTGTGGTGTGTGTAGTGTGTGTAGTGTGTGTGGTGTGTGTGTGCAGTGTGTGTGTGTGGTGTGTGTGGTGTGTGTGTGGTGTGTGTGTGTGGTGTGTGTAGTGTGTGTAGTATTGGGTGTAGTGTGTAGTGTGTGTGTGTGGTGTGTGTGTGTGGTGTGTGTAGTGTGTGTGTGGTGTGTGTAGTGTGTGTGTGTAGTGTGTGTAGTGTGTGTGTGTGGTGTGTGTGTGCAGTGTGTGTGTGTGTGGTGTGTGTGTGTGGTGTGTGTGTGGTGTGTGTGTGTGGTGTGTGTGTGTGTGGTGTGTGTAGTGTGTGTAGTATTGGGTGTAGTGTGTAGTGTGTGTGTGTGGTGTGTGTGTGTGGTGTGTGTAGTGTGTGTAGTGTGTGTGTGTAGTGTGTGTGTAGTGTGTGTGTGTAGTGTGTGTAGTGTGTGTAGTGTGTGTGTAGTGTGTGTGTGTGTGTGTAGTGTGTGTGTAGTGTGTGGTGTGTGTGTAGTGTGTGTGTGGTGTGTGTAGTGTGTGTAGTATTGGGTGTAGTGTGTAGTGTGTG